TTGCTAGCGCTCCAGCTATCAAACTATTTAGTACCGGAGGTCAACAGATAACATCGCCAGCGAGGCTGAAGGTCTAAATAATCTCTAATATCAAATTAATCATCACCCACAAGGGGCGGAAGATCTCAATAATTGTCCAGCTCGCAGAAGCTGGCTCGAAAGAAGCAGCGTTAGCATCTCAAAGAAACGAAGTGACGAAGGGGCAGGTGAAAAGCAACAGAAACGAAGACACTTGAACAAGAGGTCGCTTACACGAGGCGTCGGCCGCCCGCACGAGAGAGACAGAAAAGGGAAATGTAAGGAATCCTACCTGCATAATAACTCAATGTAAGGAATCCTACCTACATAATAACTTAACCCCACAACTGAGGCCTGCAGTCAGACACCGCGAGCTCAGCGGTGGGGCGCTCAGGAACAATCCCCCTAGGAGCGCGAAATCCCATAGGACTTCTGACGAGCACAGACACGCGTCAGAAGTCCTACCTGAAGGACAACACCGTTAGCATAATGAAGAACAGGTCCTTACGTAACAGTTCATGAATTCAAAAATGAAAAGAAAATTGATTTACACTCTACAATGAATGATTTAAAAATCATATTTGGAATAAATCGTCATTCAACTACAATGAACACATTTATAAGCAGTGACAGGTAATAATACAAGGATTTTATGAGCAAAAAAGCCCGAATTAAATCCATGATGTCTTTATGAAAACGTTTCAGAGACCAGCTCTATTTGCAGTTCAACAAATATAAATTTTCTAGAACACAAGTACAAGCGACATAGCAAATGAAAATATACGCGAAAGATATTAAAATTTATGTAAGGAGAAACTGACAACGGGACACAGTTTTTAGTATCTTTCGTGTATATTTAGATTTTCACTGCTGATTGTACTTTTATTCTATAAATGTTTTGGAACTGATGATGGGGCTCGTATCCGAAACGTTTTCAGTGAATAAAAATATCATGAATTTTTAGCGTTTTTGTTGTGTTAAAATTCTCGATGAACTTTACGATTTAAGCAAACTAATGATATAAGTATACTGGTAAAGTTATTGTTGCTTCTGGAGAAATATTTACTTAAAAAAATCTTGTCATGTGACGCACAGGAACTTGAAGAGCAATTGACGAAAATTTTAGTGGATTTTGGCAAGAGAAAAAAACCACACGACGTGCGCGTCTGGAGAGTCCATCAAAACTTGGGCATAAAAGAAAATCTTTAGCGAGCGAACACGGCCCCAGACGCATGTATTTGTGCAGCGTTCACAGATGAACTGGACTCTTTGTCAGGGATATGATCAGACCTGAAGACTTGGAACGGCCATTATATTCTCAGCGAACACGGCACTGAAGCAGCAACATGAGGCAGGTTTGAACATCAATACGTTTAATGCGTCACCTTCATTTGGTTATTTCCTCTGGTATAGTTCAGCGGCTTAACGTCGCATACGGATAGTAATTTATCAATGAAAATAATAAACAATGTTTCAAATTACATGCAATGATTGCGTCGCAGTTTCACACGACGCACGGCCGACTTCACTGGAGAAGATTTAATCCTACTAATTGGGAACAAATCTAATTTGCATTGAATTCTTCAATCGTGAAAGGCAATCGTCTGTGAAAGAGATCACAATTCCGCAGAGATGTACTCCTTTTTTAAAATGTACTTTATCGCCAATACCTGGCATTGCTGACATAAATCGTGTGTAAAAATGCGAAGCAGCCGCGGCACGTAATTACAAACTCGAATAATTATACAAATTTACAAGGAACTAGAAAACAATTTGCAAGCAAGGGCGAACTGTGAAATTATTAGAATGGCTGAGCCAACCGGTCTTCAGATCTTTAACCACACAGGGAGATGTTTAATACAATAATATAACTACACACAGACTTGCATAATTAATAACGTCGCGGTATAACTATGCCCTGACGCGAGAGAAGCGAACACATGCGATACTTCAGTGAAGTTCAAGCCACGGTAATGGACCAAGTTTGGTCGTTTCAAGAACCTAACATGAACGTTATCAAGCTGACAATTAAGTCTATAGCAATACGATACTAGCGCACGAGTAGAATCAAACTATGGAACTGTTAAAATGCAGTACGAGCTGTAAATACGTAATCTTGAATATTAAATTACTCCTATCACCAATTCTATAACTAAGTTTATAATGGAATATAAAGTGAGTAAGACTACAAACACCATTCATAATATACAATAAATCTGAATGAAGCTTGAACCTATAAATCCTGAAGTACAAGTTTAGAGTATGACTTGTCGGCGTCCAACCTTTAGGTCATGTGGGTCATAATTATTGTACCCTCCAATGAGCGGCTTGTTTTCGAGATAAAAAATCTATTTACGCCGAGTTTCGACGCAACGAAGAACAACATGATGCAGTTAGAGTTTCGAGAGTGCTTTCTGTAACTTCTCGAGGCTCAGTTCTACAAGCAAATACGTAAAGTGTAACTAAAATCCGTTAGAAATAGTTTTTACAATTAAAGAGTTATATAAAACATCGTGCTTTTGGTCAACCTTAGCAAAAGTACAATCAGCGGTGACAGATAGTATTAATGGAATGCCACTAGATTTCCATATCCAGATAATAAACTTGCGCGAGTACGTCAAGCGCATACCGGGAATTTTGCAAGCTATCGTCATCTTTCCTTTGTCCGTCGGCTCATGCAAAGCAGTAGAAAATTCGTCCTGGACTACGAGCTGCAGGATGCGATTCCTCACAAGGAAAATTTTCGGAAGTGCCACGGCAATGTTGGGAGAATTGAGCGAGTGCTTTTCTTTACCTCCTCACGGCCGATTTCGCATTTTCTACAGAGGTAGCGTGGCGTGCGGCGGAAAAATAAGTTCAACTTCACTTCAAATCATATTTTGTCGAGAAAAATATTCTAAATTGTGTCATAGGAAATAATTTCAAGATTCATATTATCATGAAATACAAAGACGGAGAAGACAGAGTTAGAAGATGCCATGAGTACCCTCGAGAAGACGGCTAGAAAGACGATACACCACTTATAGTCTACGACTGAAACTTGGCTGCGAGAAGTTCTTAGCAAACCTGCTGCTGAGTCTATAGTGGAATGGCTTCTCAGAGTTTGTTGGGAGCGTAGCTGTCCAGAGTTTACTGTTGACCGGCAACTCGGGGTTTGTTTAGAACAGAATGCCCGGATATCTTGAGACCAGGTTACCCAGATTTTGATCAGGAAGATATACTCAGAGTTTATTTTGGCACAAATCTGACTGGCGAGAGACGTGTTTGACCAAATATTTAAATTATAATTAACCACACGCATTTCAATTCGGTAATTTTTGCGTGATTCCTCATAGTGGTTCTTCACTGACAGAATGTTTGTTTCCACTCTTATAATTTTCCTCGATATTTGCTGCTGGCAAGTTATGTACCTACTTTAATTTAGACGTTTTATTTGTATCAAAATCCCAACAGACGTCAATATTCGGTTAAAACCAGCAAAGATTTTACGACCATTCATTTGACGGTCGACAAGCTCCATCGAAAGAAATGAACAAAATAAATATTTGAAGTGAATTCTTGTTTCTATCAGAAGCGTACAAACTCAATCATGTCAACAACAAATACTTCCTTCAAACTCTGATGGCAGAATATATTTCAGGGAAAAATCCCTTTCCCAGATTCTTCTCTTGAAATTAAACTGTCCACGGGCGAAACGGGTTGGAAATGTCAACAGAAAATCTTTTTCCTACGAATTGCATATACCGAGGAAATCATGAAGAACAATTCATGAGAAATTCGTTCCGGGCTGTCAAGAGAACTGGCAATCTTACTAATGTAAAAAAACCGTGATGGACGATTTGTTTGACATCGATTTTGAGTCTATATAGAATGAGTCATTTGAACTGATAATCCGAAGAATGATCAATTCTGTCGTGTGACAATTCTTTCATCACTATATTAAAAAAATCATTTCATCCGACAATGATTCCAATAGGCAACCGTGTCAATCTAATTGCCAAACAGAACTATCTATGCACCACATTTTGTTAACGGAATAAAAAGATATAATATAGCTTCAGCGTTATTGTACTGATCTCACCCAATCTCCAATATCCTTAACATTATGTCGAAGATCAATCTTGTTCGAGACAACCTTGTTGTCAAAAAGTTGCTGGATAGACTCACTTCAACAGTAAATTCTGTTAACAGTTGTTGCCGTCAAGCGGCGCTCATGTCAAGAGGCGCTCTCGATCATTAGAATTTATCACGAGCAATGATGCAGACTAAGCTAGGCTCGTTGCGCTCCCCAGAGGCCTTCATAGGAGTTTTTCGTGGTGCGGCATATTAGGCAGAATTGAAATATCGTGAAGCTAGGATTATAGCGTAGGACGCCGCCGCTCACTACTGCATTTACACATGATATTGGTCGGATTATTATTTAGAGTGAAATACATTGCCACATTAAGTCAAGTAAGAAGCGCATTTCAAATAATATGGCCATTTAAATGCTTCGAGGACACGGTACAAAATGTTTTTTTTTTTAGAAAATCAGAATGATTGTGTACATAATCCTTAACGTGTTACATAAATACAGTTCATATTTAAATTTGGACAATGCAAAGGGAAATCGATATTTTGCATTGGGTAAATTTCAGCTCCCACGTACGGTACTATACTTAAAACAGAAGAAAATCCACGGTAATGTTAACTAACATTTTGTTAACGGAATAAAAAGACATAAAATGACTTCAGCGTTACCCCAATTCCCAATTTCCAATATCATTCACCTGCAATAAATTGAAATGAGCGATAAATTAATTATAACCATAGCCAAATTGCTACATTTGGATTAATCTTACGGTATTACTATACTTGAAAAATATTCCGTTTTAATGTGAACGTTAAATAGAGATCAGGAGTTGTAAACTATGGTTGTAATACATCATCAGGTTTTAATCGTTCACCTTCTGTAATTGTGTAACTTATCATGAAATGCTCACCTTGTCAGGTGCACCGTAGCCATGGTCCTCAGCTCGCTGCTGGCCCAGCAGTCGGTCTGTTTCCTGGTCCGTGTCGCCATCGTCTGCACGCCACAACAAAAATTATTATCCTTTTGATACTCAAAGCTGGCGAACGAAAATATGCATCAAGGAAATAGAAATGATCAGTACAGTTAATGAAGGCCTACTTTTTATATCATCGATATCATTAACAGTCTCAATATCACTAGGATCAACAATACGAGTTATCGACCCCGCTCGTGCCGAGGGTAGAAAGCGCAAATTGTTATTCTAACAACAAGATGAATTTATAATTTATAGTGGTCCATGATAACATAAGAAATTATATCTGCATTAGCTTGTCGCAATAAATTTCTCCAGTGCATGAAAATTAGTAAATTGTGTAATTATATGATAGGTTCAGAATAGTAGTCTTAGAACGCTTGTCACATATGCCTTGCAATGAACTATAACTCCATAATAAAAAATATGGACCCGCTTGCATCCAGACAAGTCTAAACTCATCAGCTAGAACGGCGACCCGAGCGTCGCTGACATCAGGAGTTCTGCATGAGCAAATCCTGAATTGCTGACGCAGCTAAACTCGGTGATTTGTGAGCTAACAGACAACCTGAGATGCGGATACACACGAGCCGGTGCAGGAGACCACAGGGGCCATACTTTCAAAACTCGCTAAGTGAACGTAAGCACCTATATACGATCTATTTTTTGTCTATGACTGGTGGATTTTGCTTGAAAGGCCGTCAATAATTGGCGGATGAACTTAAGATCTCTTAACTTTTTTTGAAAGTATAGGGAAGTATGGTATAATATTGGCCAAGACACAAGGATAACATTTCGATACTGAATACAATTGGGTGCTGGGAATATATCAGTACTAGCGGCGCAAGAGAAGGTACTCTTAATAAATATTTATTTACAGCCATACATGCAGATTATAGGAAATTGCAAGAGACGAAGCAATTATAGGAAATGTAGCGCAGGAAGAAAAATGGTTCACTTGTGCGTAGCGGGAAAATTAGCAGCAGAATTTCTGATCAAAGATTAATCATAAAATCAAATCATGTTAAATACATAATGAAGAAAATTTAACATGCGCAATGTAGCCGCAATTAATAGAAATACAGCTGAGTTCTACACAGGCGAAAAAGTTAACTAAAAATGGGCAGCATTCATTTGAAAATTTCCATCGATGAGCCCTGACACATAATATTTAACGACGTCATTCGTTCGACACGCGAAGTGTGGGAAGGTCCAAAACAAACATCATTAGCAGGACATGCCCAGCTTTTATTATCGCGCTTGTCCAATAATTTCCCAACCAATTAGCGAGTTGCCTACGCAGTAATTAAAACGCTCGCGGCAATTCCCTGGATAAGGCGATAATTTGGGTGAATTTCACGACACGCATTGCGTGGTCCCAAAGAATTACTGGAAGTCGGTGGGTCAGATTACCCGAGTCGCTTAGACGGTGACGAGGAAACACTGTAACAGAAGAATGAGCTGTCGAGCCAAACAGAATCATGTCAATAAAGTCAAATTCAAAGAGCCACGTGCTCTTTTCTGATGAGATGTTTATTTCACTGCATGCAAATGAAAAATAAGTTACGTGAAGAACATATTATAGGAATATATAGCATCCGGCTATATCCTGCAATACAAATATACATATAGAACAAAATTAAATCTTTCGGCGCCGTGCCAGGAGAGGAAAGACTATCGTTCATTGGGTTTAACATCTCAAAAGTTAGCAATAAAAATGCTTTTTGAAACGAGTATGGTAAAGAAAGTACAGATTTCAAAGACATCAGATTGATTTAAAACTGGGGACAAGATGTGATAAATGTTGTACTTAATACCAGGAATAAAATATTTTCAAGGATACATAACTTAAAGATTTATAATGTCACCATCATCTTGGTAACACGTGTTCTGCGTTGATAACTGATATTTCAGGAAACTAATTTTGAAGCAACATATGCTTTTTCCAGATTACAGCGGCTGTCACAGCATTTCCATTAGAATCGCCACAACCTTGTGGCTACACTTTAATCACAGCCACATTAAGGAATGCAACATAATTCCACAATTCACTTTAATAATTAGACGAGTAATCATTAGACTTGTACTTTGTGATCAACCAGTGGCGATTTAATAAAGCTTCGTGTCATAGGAGTACAGGAGCATGCTGCTGCCCCAATACCGCTCAATAGAACAAAGCTATGGCACAAGACACTAATTTTTTTTATATTAAAATTCATACTAAATAATTCATATTCAATTAAATTATTCTAAAAATGCGGCTTTTAGCCATACTGACTAGTATATTCGATGCGCTTCCCTGCCACAAGATAGCCTACGCCGCTGTTTGACAGACAAAAATCTTGCCGAAGACAGCGTTAACTTCGCTAACTTGAGATGCAGCAAAAAGTCGGCGCAAGTTCGGTGGCGGCGGATCAAAAGTTTGCGGCAGTAACGTCACTTTTATTCTAGCCACAATGCACAGCTGGAATGGGTTTCTTGTGAGTCTATGAAACTGCGTGTGGTAATGGTGTGTGGACTTAGGAAACTGCCTGTGGTAATGGTGTGTGGACTTATGAAACTGCGTGTGGTAATGGTGTGTGGACTTAAGAAACTGCGTGTGATGCGGGGTGTAAAGTTGAGGTGAGTTTGAGCAGTTAGTGTGTGGGTTTTCCTGATATAGTCGTTAGTCTTGATCCACGTAATTAGGTTCAATTCTTTAACTACAGAAAAACAATTTTTGCACAAGCCTGAGTAAAAAAATACCAGAGTCTGCAGTATTAAAAAGTAAGCAAAACTTGAAACAACAACTGGGGAGGAAATGTCCGAAGGCGCCCTGAGAAAATAACCGCAGGAGACCTGAAGGACTACAAGATTTTCCACAAGAATTATTTCGCCTCAAAAGGAGGCCGTTCAAAAGACAAAAATCTTATTAGTTTTGTTTTCGTAGCAAGAAGTTAGAGCGCTCGGCCATCATAAAAGGAAGAGAAAATTTCTATATAAGTACACCTGTCCACCTCAAGTTGCTGGACGAATATTCGAAGTTAATTTACGTAAATAAATTTAGAAGTATCCTCAAATTTTCTTTAAATGCGTGTACTAAAAAGCTCTGGATGACCTGGAATAATATTTATTAACCGCCTTAAGAAAATAGCCACAAGGCAACTTAGAGGAAATAAAACTTTCTAAAACCCACGCATAATCACATAATTACGTCTGAACGGCGTCCAGAAATAAGGCGTTTTTAGACGCTATACCTACACCTCAATCTTAGCTAAGAGGACATTAGTGTGTAGGAGCCTTAGTCCCGGACCGAGCGCTGCCTGCTAATTTTTTAACAAGATCGAAGCGTCTTCAAAGCAGCCGCGCTGCGCCATGCCATAAAGAATGACGCGCAAAACTTCCCGTGATTAAAATGCGCTCGAGCGCGAGCGCTTGGCTTTAATCTCTCGCTAACTTATTTCTCGGAGGCGCGTCTTTGTTTTGCAGCGAATAGTGAAAACAAACTTTTCATCATATCAAGTTGAAAGGAGAATATGAAATAAGGTTATTACCATGGGAAGAACGGTTGTTTGGAGGCGAGCAGGCATAATTCTCTGTTCTTTCTCATCTAATGAATGGACATTGAAAGCTATAACATGAAGAAATGCATTCTTTTTCTATTATCCAATTTCATGAAAATGATGAGGGTTTTGAGCAATTGGAGAGTCAAGCACACTGCAAGAAATCCCACAATGATCAACAGCTCGAACCAGGACGACAATTTATGCAGATTGATTGAATTAATTGAGGCCCTACAGCGCACACGGCTGAAAGAACCTTAGACTCGGAATATCAATGACTTGAATCAACCTTTGAGCTGCTTTTTTATTTGCATTCAACATTTTCAAATATATAATTCGACATATTTTATCTGTACAGACGAATTTATTAAATTGATACACTTTCATAGGTTTAATTATTCATGATAGTTATAATATTTTCAACGGTTCAAGCTATGAAGACGTCGTCTTAGAATGAACACAATGCGAACAAGCAAAAAACAACATTACGGTAGTAGATCATTATTGATTTGAGATCATGGACATGAAGAAGCAAAGGCTTGTTTAAAATTATGTAACAAATGATTTATTGCATACAAATGAAAGAAGGCTTATGGATAGGGGGGCAAATTATACGCAATTAAGGAACCTCGATGCTCCCAATGCTCAGGGATCCCCTTGCTTTGCGTTACAAGGGAAAGGGGATATGGGGATTCTAAAATTAACGGTTGGTGACTATGCTAGTGCGACGGGAGGAGAAACACATTGATGCAATTCAAGCACTCAGAAAAAGTAGTGGGTCGCATTATCCTAATAGTAACATACTTTCCTATACGCAGCACGAACAGAGAGCGGAAGTAGAACTGACTCACTTTTTGCCCAGCCAAACTGGGTGAGGATGACCCATACAAAAGCAAAATATGAATCGATAATTACACATTATCCAAATAGACAACCCTGACAGGAACGTGTAGAGGAAATAAATAACAATTACCGTGACTAGCCGTAGTAAAATTAGGCTGGTTTGTTGCCACAAGCTGGCCTCACGAATTGAATGAATTCGCTCACGTTAGCAAGTCACTGAACAATCTTAATGAGAGATAGTAAAATTATTGAGCGAGTTTCACCACAACGTTACGCGATTGTTGAGTTTCACTATAATGATAGGCGTGCACTGTTTAGGTAAAAATATCTACCGCAGTGCTAGAGTAGTTTCCACGTAGTTATCTTAATAATAGTCGGCAATGAATGGCATAAATATCAAATAATATTTTCTATCAACGTTATGAGACTGTTCTTTATTGCTATGCAAGATTAATCGATAATAAATCGCTTAAAAGTGTAAATGGACTTTTACTTGATCATTTTATTTAACAACAATCATTTGATTTCAGCTACCAATATCTACTTCTAGAATGAATAATCTTTCCAAAATTCTTACATTGATATAACTAAATATTTTATACATCGACTTGCAACTATCACTATTGATGTTCATA